GCATGTATCTATATATACATAGCTAGTTGCTATATGCATGTCTGTATAGTTATTATAGTCGTTATATCTATGTATAAGTACTTGCTATATCGTTATATGTATATCTGTTATCTGTAGCTCTATATACCTAGTTGTTTGTAGCTCTACAAACCTAGTTGTTTGTAGCTCTATAAACCTACTTGTTTGTAGCTCCACAAACCTAGTTGTTTTTAGCTCTAAGAACCTAGTTGTTGAGTGTGACATTGCTCATGGCAGTAGCGATACTCGCCGTCTTGCGCAATGCATTAGTGGGCTTCGGTGCCATAGCCCACGCGGCTGTGCGGTCGGTTGCACTGGCCTTCTGCGCCACATCCTCCAGGCGTCCCTCCATATCCAACGCAGGCCAGCTTCTGACCCCGTGTTGGCCACTCCTAGTAGGACACCCCATGTATTTACCCCGAATACCCGTCACCTCTCCACTGTCCACAGTCACTGGCTGTGTGGCCTGTGTGGGCACTCCGTCGCTGTGATTCTCAAGCGGCGGCAGTAGCTCAGTCGGGCACTGCGTGGTAGGCGAGTGCGCCTTCTCCGCCTGTGTGTGCCCTTCGCCTGTTAGTGTGTGGCCCAGTGCCTCTGCTGCGCCATCCGTTGCCCCACACGCCTTATCTGTGGTGCTTGCCACCACTTCGTCGCGTGCAGGGGAGCGTTTCAACAACAGCGTAGGCGCGAGCCATGCGGCTGTCCTGTCTGCTGGGCCGTTCTCCAGGTGTGTCACACGAGTGTGTGATGCGCTGGGCAGCACAGGCGCGTGCCCCTCGTCGCCGTAGCCGCTGTCACGAGAGGTCTCGTCGATGGTGTCTAATGCTGACATGCTGCTGACACTTCGGTGCAGGTCGAGTTTGAACTCGTCGCCATAGCTACCAAACACCGCGTCTAGATCACCCAGTCCGCCGAGTCCCAGATCCAGCTCCTGCCCGAGATCTAGATCTAGATCTAGATCTAGATCTCCGGGCGCGTCCAGAGACGGAGGAGCGGCTGCCTGGTCACCGCCACTCAGATACTGTGTGTGAGTCATATCGTCAAAGCTGTCGTTCAGGTCGCTGCAAGAGGTGCCCGCATAGTCGCGTGTGGCGAGTGACGTGAATGTGGAGTACGCCCCGGCGTTGAGTGTGGTCAGCCCCAGCAGACTGTCCACCTCCGCGTCCATGCAGAAGTTGTCTAGGCTGGACGGGATGGTCATGCCACTCAACGGCCCAGCCTCCACCACGCCTGCGCCTGCTGCGTGCGGTGACTGGTGTGTGGTGGTATGGAGCCCGTCGAAGGATATATTTCTTTCTTTAAACGACGCGAACGTTGTGGGGGTGTGTGTGGCGTTGAGAGAGTGTGTGCCTGTGCCCCCAATGTCCTCCTCCGATTGCACCAGCTGCGCCGTCACAAGTGTGTGTTCGCTTGTCGTGTGCATGCGCGTGTGCGTCTTTGTAGCGTGCACGTGCGTGTTTGCAGCAGGCGTCTGCGTCTTTGTAGCGTGCACATGCGTGTTCGCAGCAGGCGTATGCGTGTCGTACGACTGGGCTGTGGTGGTGTGATCTGAAGTGGATGGCTGTGTGGCCATGCGTGGTAGCATGCTCAGGCTGTGTGTCTTGTAGCTGGTGGCATCCGACTGCGACAGGGACGAGCGTTTGCGTGGCAGCTTCTGGCGCTTGTGCATGTGCAGTGGCGTGTTGTGTGTTGTAGCTACCCCCCCTACATTCGCACTTTGCCCCCGCTCGGTCGCTTCGCGTGTGTGTGTGATGGGCTGGAGTGGTCCCATACGCCCAGTCTGCTCACCCTCGGGTGTGTCTGTGCCCTTGTTGTCGCGTCCGAGTGTCGTCCCTGTGGCTGTGGTGGGTCTGCCCCGTTTGCCGAGAGTGGACTTGGGAGTGTCGTGACTCATCGCTCCTTTACCCGTATCTTTGGTCTGGGACGCTTTCCCTGCCTTAGCCTTGGCTTTGGCTTTGGCCTTGGCCTGAGTGGGTGCTAGCTGGGGGGGCGGGGCGTTGTACGGTGACTGTGGCAACCAGCTCATGAAGCTGTCGTGACTAGCACAGTTAGGGTTCATCTGTGTTTGCGCGTATGCTCTCACCTGTGCGTGTACCTGAGACTGTTCGTGTGCTTGAGCCGCCTGTGCCTGTGCCTGTGCCTGTGCCTGAGCCTGGGCCTGGGCGAGTACATGAGCCTTCACTTGTGCTTGTGCGTGTGCATGAGCTTGTGCGTGTGCATGAGCTTGTGCGTGTGCATGAGCTTGTGCGTGTGCGTTCACCTGCGCCTGTGCCTGGGCCTGCGCCTGTGCCTGGGCCTGTGCCTGTGCCTGGGCCTGCGCCTCTGTGTGTATCTGTGCCTGTTGCTGTGCATGTATCTGTGCCTGTTGCTGTGCGTGTATCTGTGCCTGTTGCTGTGCGTGTGCGTGTATCTGTGCCTGTTGCTGTGCCTGTGCCTGCGCCTGTGCCTGTGCATTCACCTGAGCTTGCATCTGTGCTTGTGCTTGTGCGTACGCATGGGCCTGGGCCTGGGCCTGCGTGAGCATGTACACGTGTGGACTTCCATGTGCGCTGTGTGCCCCCTCACTACCTATACTCATAGCTCTGTGCATCTTGATCGGTGCTGGAGATATGGGAACGTTCTTAGTGGTCTGTTGACTGGCCTCAAACCCTCGCATCTGCTTAGGGGTGCCCATATCCGTGAACATAGGTGACCCCGTGTCCGAGTACATAGATGGCAGTTGAGGGTTAGTCATGCTGTACATTTGTTGCAGCACCTGCTGATTGCGAACCTTCATGATGTTGTGGCGTTCCATGCGTGCCTTCTCCTTGATATTCAACTGTATATTCGCCCTCTCGTGGGCTTCTACCTGGGCCAACGCATATTGCGCTTGGACGTATTGTGCTTTCGTCATTACTTGGGGGAGTGGACTCGTCTCGAAAGTATCGTTGACTTCATAGTAGAGGGCAGCAGGCAGTGACATGGACGACCCCAGGGGCTCTATATGCATCGGAGGCATGCTCATCGAGTGCTGTGACAAATTGCGACTGCTACCTGTGCCGTGCTCCCTACCACTGGCTTGAGTTGGGATCCATTTCCCTGGCGAACTTGCTCGAGGCGCTTTATGATGGATGAAGCAGACAAATCAGTCGTTAGTGGGATAGATGGCGTTCAGTAAAAGTACATTTATGATGTGGAGATGGTTATGGTACAGCACAAAGTGCGATATAAAGAGCGTTAGAATCACACAAACACGTGAATTGCATGAATATGTGACTGTGGCATACCAAGGCGACGGGGAGAGGTCATGGTTGCTCCGGGCTGCTTCCAGCTCTGTGCCACAGGCATTCCTGTGTCACCCCCTTCGGACGCTGAGTCCGATACCATGCTGTGTGCACCCAAGCCGTTCCCCCCGGGTCCGGCCGTGAAAGCTGGAGAGTACACTAGCGGTGTTGTGGTGGTGTCAGCAGATGTATGTCTTCTGTCGCTTATTCGTATTTGATTCTCATTGTCCACGTTCAAACTAGAAGCATATTTGCCCAAGTCCAGATTGAGGTCCAGCATGCCCATGCTATTACTAGAAAGTGGTGCATTCTTATAGTCTTCTGTCCAATCGATGCTCATGTGCTCGGCATCGCTCATGATCCGATCATTACCGATATCAAAAATACTCGCAATATGCACGCTCGGCTGTCCCACTGAGCTTGGTTGTGAAGGGGCCTCTTTTGTAACCGGGGCTTGCTCGCCTACAGCGTTTACTTTCACACCCACGCTTTGATCAGTCGTGGCCTTCTCTGAAACTGGTGCGTTCTCAGTTGAAACCATTTGTGTACTTTCCTTTATGGTGCTATCACCAACTTCGACGATAGACTCGCCGAGTGTTTCTGTATCATTGTTGTGCTTGAGTTTTATGTGCAAGCTAAGGGCATGTTTGCTTGCGTATACTTTCCCACACTCCTTCTCTGGGCACTCGACGGTCCGCGATAGCTCAGCTGAAGATCTACGCCGACGGGGCAACTTGTCCGTCTGTTTTGGATTTTGGCCCAGGTTTTTGATTAATTTTTCCATATATGCGTGTCGATGTACTGCTATATGTATGCGTGTCGATATACTGGTATAAGAATACGTGTCTCGTGTATCTGAGTTCAACGAGCGGTATAACTGCGAATTGCGAAAGTACTGGGAGAAAAGTTGATAAATAGAGTCAAACATGTGGCTAGCACTATCGTTGCCAACCACAATAAACAAACCCATGCACAACGTACATTGTAATAGGCACTGGCAGCATTTGAAAATATTATACATTTGGGCTCTCAAAGGTAATGCAATATACTATTCCCCCCACCCCCCCACGCCCCTCTCCCATTAAACACGTTCGTATTTCAGTTCGTACCGATGGGCGTATGCCGTTGGCCTGTGAATCTTTCGTCGGGGCAATATTCCTCTTTATGTCTCGAGTGTTTTGACTGTCTACCGAGGATGTCGAAGTAGAGGCTTTCAGAGTATTTTGGCTTCCACTCCAGAAACGATTTTTTGTCTTTTCATTCGGATACTGATAGTCGCGCAAAATATTCGCAGGCTTTGTCGACCGTTGCATAAGTGTATTCATATTCGCCTGTTTGTCGTCATTCAGAGATGTGGTAGAAGATTTGGAAGTAGAATGTACGCCTGTCTTCAAATTCCCTCCAATATTTTGTTTGACACGGTCGTTTGCGTTCCAATTTGGGTCGGTAGACGGACTACTGCTTTCAGAGGCAAGCTTTGTGCCTTTGAAATCATACATATTCATATGAGATGGTGCTGTGCTTCCACGTGCATCTACATTGCCTGGTGCTGTTGCATGCGTGCTATGTGCATACTTATTAAAATCCATGGTTTTAGTACTCCAGAACAATAGGAGAAGAAATTGGCTGTCCGCTGTTTATATGATATAATACACTTTCGAGATATCAAACGGCTGTATCTCTAAAGGATCATATTCAGGCGGGGCCAACTTCGCGTACGAGTCTCTAATTGTGAGCGATGATAAGTCTCTCCAAAGCTTGTATATAGAATTTCAGAGAACAGAAACACAAAATAGAAGATTTGGGGAAACCCAGATGATGTACAATCCACCAATATGCTGGATTAAAGTCAGTTATGTGTATAGAATCATTGGCGTCTTTTCGACACGGAGGTGCGTAGATTGCGTCGCTTGCATTTTCTCAAAATAGTCTATTATCACTCTTCTTCTGTGCGGCTTGAGTCCTTGACTGGCTATCATCGATATAAATTTGCGTCGCAAACCAGTTAAATAGCCCATATAATACTCTATTTGTTCGAAATTTTATTCCCAAATGGTACTACTACTGTCGGTAATAAAGACATGATATAGGTAGGGTACGAGGCAATGAGCTCTATACTTCGGTTCATCGAGTATTGCCAAATATGCTGAAGTGTGTAATTTATTTTTATAACCCTCCAAGAAATAATCGGACAGCATCCATTGGCTAACGAAGAGCACTTCTATCCAATAGAACGCCGACTTCTTGTTACTTCAATTTGATTGAATTATCTCTAAAGCCGCCATTTAAGACTACACCAGTACACCTTAGCAATTTTGTTAATAATTTTATAGCACATGGCTACGACTGACCGGCTCTGAGCTCTGGAATTCCGAATTTGGTCCCAAAAAAATATAATACAACAAACCTACTCGTATATTTTTTAAGTGCATACTTACGCTCAAAGCAGTCTGCGGGACTGCCGTCTAAGTCTTATCTCTCTCTCTCTAGAGTCTAGACTCTCTAGTAGCTCTACTACTACTAGAGAGTACATAGAGAGCGAGAAAGTGTGCGAGAGAACGACGCACTCTACAGTGGCCTATACTCAACAGTAAGCACTCAGCATTGTCAGACTGTCTCCAGCCTACAGCGGTTAGCAGTCCTGCAATCCTGTATTCTGCGCTTTCTGCAGTCTGCAGTTTTTTCTCACAATAACGATGGAAGGTGGGATGACGGACACTTTGTTTTGGGCAGATTTATCTAGAAACGAACTGTTCAGCTTGTCCCTCTCTATTCCTATTTTAAAATAGTTATATCTGTGTATACATTCTAAATAGATTCTGCATTAGAATCTGTATTATTGATACAAATTTTAAATAAATAAAAGTTGAGTACACATTCCATCCGCGCTACATTGATAGACTTCAGATTACGATTCATGATTTCTTCTTGTGTTGTAAATACACAGTTCCTAAAGGATTAAAATTTAAAAGTGCTTTTATTGGGAAGTACAAAGAAAACTCAATCAAGCGATTGCTCCACATCATGCTGTTTGCATGATATAAAAGCTATCTTTCTGATATACTACCAATTCTTGGAAGCAGACGGTTGCTACGAATGACATGTATATGTGCGCACAAGCTCATAGTCTACCCGATGGATATCTTTCGTGTCGAAGGATCATCCACTGTTATGCAAAGGGAAATTTTATTTTATTTTGAGATTGCTTGCATGCTCAGTTTCAATGTGTGAGAAATTGAGAATATGTCGACAAAGACCTTTCTCCCGATTGCAGGAACAATCAATCTTTCGATTTGTTGGAAAGCATCGAATTGTCCAAAACCATTCCCTCGAATATTTATGAAAACGATTAGAACTCCATCTCTGGCTAGCTAGTGAGGGCCGAGCTTTCTTTCTCAGTTTTGTTATTGACCATGTGGGATACATGTAAACTGTGCTGTATGCGTTTAAAATATGTACACGTTATAGTATTTAAAACTCAGTACATATTATATTCTGTGACGAATCTGATCCCAAGTTCCCAACCATGACGGGAATAAAAATTGCCTGCAGACGGCCAGAAGTCAGATGTCCGAGATGTGTGATAGATGTGCTTTAGCATATATTTTTTTAAATGGCATTTTTTAATGTGCTTTAGCATATATTTTTTTAAATGGCTTTTTTTTTAAATGTTGCGCATGCAGCATGCCTGCTTGCCTCATTCGCATGCCTGATGCACAAGTATTGGTTGTAGTTTAAAAACACAGTGCCGTCACTGCCGTGAGACGAGTGATATTGCGGGGTAAAAGTTAAAGATATTGAAATGCTGGAGACCGACTCATAGACTCACCGAGAGTCTGTGTCTCCGACTCTGGGAGGCACCGAGTCAACGACTGACCTGCCGAAGTGCCGATACGGGCATACGGCCCTGTGAGGCTGTGTCCTCACTGTCCTGTGACTCTGTGAGGCTGTCCTGTCCCCATTCACCTGTGTCCTCTCTCTAGAGAGACTCTTATGACTGGTCGCGGCTGCCACTGCAAATTGAAATTGCAATATTTAGACTACCCTAGATCTTGGGGCTTCCCCGACAATCTTATGAGTTGTTTTACATTTTATATATATAAATACGTCTACTCTCTCCACTCTCTAGTAGTAGTAGTAATAAGTAGAGAGTCTGGAGTCTGGAGTCTGGACTGTTGAATCACTCTCTCGAGTGTGTGGACTGTTAAGGGTGGCTGTGTGGCGTGCGAGTATGGGAGTGTGTGACTGTGGGACTGTGGGCTGTGGGTTTTTGGGAGTTGGGACTTGTGAGTTGGGACTGTGGGCCAGACTTCAAGACGTGCTACAAATATTTGAAAACGTAAACATTTAAACGTAAACCGTATAAACGTTTTCGTTTAACTATATTAAGCGTGGGAGTCTGGGACTCGACAGACGTCTGTGAAACTGTGAAGTGTGAGACTGCGAGTGTGCCTGTGTGTGAGTGGTGTGACTGCTACATTTATTTTTTCTGGGTTGTTTTTTTAAACCAACAAACAAAATAACAAAATGAAAAGGGGACATAAAACACGGCTAGAGCGCCTCGGAGACCAAAAGTGTTTCTTGAAAGAGGGAAACCAAGAACTCCCCATTTACTTTCACTCAACACCCACACAAATACGCACTGTCATTCAGTCACACCCGGGACGGGCCCACAAAAGTATGCTCTATTTTTTGAAACAAAATTCCCTTTAGGATCCCTCGGGGGCCTCTTTGTGGCCTACAAATGGGGAAAGGTATTCCGGACAGATTTAGCGTTCCGGACAGATTTCAAGTTCAATAAAAGAAATAGGGAGTAGGGACTCTTCACTCTACAGCTACGCTTTCGGTGAAAATAAATATTTTCTCTGAACTGGAAACGCGGAGCTGTTTATAGTCGTGTCATTTTGTTATCAATCTGTCCAACTGTCTACAACGCGTCATTTTGACAGTGACAGATGCAGTCGAAGGATTACATATCAACCACATGACGATGATGCATACTACACTGCACGTGAGGACAACAAGTGAGCAAGAGAGAACCCTCCAACAAGAGTGAGGCATGGATTATCACTTTACAATCGACACTGAGAAACACGCGTTTTGCATGGCACTCTCAGAGTTGTTGTTCAACCTCGTAGACAGGTCGTAGAAACCTTCTGGTACACTTGTCGAGTAGTAGTTTTCGCACCGAATTGTTAACATGTTGGGTAAGAGTGGTGTGCGCAACTGTGTGGCCAATGAATACAAGAAGATGGCCAAAAGGCTGAGGCTACCAGTATGAATAGATTGTAGTACGTAGATATTGGATGAGTGATAGCGCCAACTTTGATGAACGACTAGAGGTATAGGGAAACACCAACAGTAGTAAATGACTACGTATAAAAAACACGAATAACCAACATATGTCCTGTGCCGTTCGACTGAGTGCACTTGTACGAAATCCCGACTGATATGGCACCAGGACTTGAGGGATGTTTTAGTATCATTCACAACGTGTTGGTATATGGCTAGAGGTAAGTGGCCCTTCTCCACGCGAGTAGAAGATCACTTGTATACTTGTTGTATGCCACCTCAGACAGGAAGCTATACTTTGGTACAACACGAGGTAAACTTTTCTATACCCGAACTACTTTGCTGAACTCTATAAACCATACTTCACTATACTACGAAGTGCATATGCTACACCTAATTACGAATTGCAAGGCGATATTCTTCAAAAGGGGCTATACTGTGCTTGTGACAGAGAGAGCTGTAGCCAGCATATAACCTTTGGTTGTCTGCTTCTAACTTTGCCCACACTATCGTTCCTTGTACTTGCCAAGTATACACTCTATAGCGACCCTTTTATTTCTTAAGATACAGTTCAACGAAGCGCGCGTATAGTGCTGGCGCATATATCGCAAACCCGTATTAGTATTAGTGGGCATTGAGAACCACATAATACTATAACAGCAGCATCGTTGTATTTTCTGTAAAGTCCTGGAAAGCAGGCTGGGTGTGGCATAGAGTGGCTTATCTGTTATCACGAGCAATTGTCTTCTGCTTGCCTATATGTGCTGAGCAGTGAGACTACGAAAGCTCTTGTACTCTACCAATCACCAGAGAGCAGCACGTCATACTCGTGCGCATTGGTTAGATACAACCCTTACCTTAAGACCGATCCGTAATTAAGGAATACAAGTACCGTGTCAGAGTATGCAGCCCATTAAGGATGTGCTCAGAGGGGATATACTATTGACCGGCGTGACCGGGTTTGTGGGTGTGGTGACGCTGGCGAAGCTCTTGCGGCACGCTCCTCATTCAAGAGTGTTTGTGCTTGTTCGCCCAGGGAACAAGATCGGTGCTCGAACTAGATTTGAGGTAAGTAGCTACGACAGAGGAGGTTCTGCACCAGTGATCCTTGGGTTCCATGTGTGTTGTCGTGCGCTCGTATTCTCACCGGAATGCAGAACATGGCAGACAGTTCACTCGGCCTTCGTATATGGAGGTCTCACTAACGTAGAGATGAGAAATCAATTGTAAGTAGCGAATTAACTATACAGTAGGTAGATAGCTCGTATGTCAACAGCGAGATGCGTTTTGGATACAACATTCCTCTCCAATTTCACATTTTGCCGAACATTACCATCTGTACACCATCGATGCAAACGTTCGCCCGTGCTGTCATGTTGACTTCAATTAACACTGCCGTAGAGCTCTTGTACAGTGTGTGTCAGTCAGTTGTACTGGCCACTACTACCATCAGCGACATCTCACTGCCACTTGTTCTTGGTATAAGTTGGCATTACACCCGTATGAATTGCCTTCATATTCCGTGCAATCGGACATTTTCGTATCGACTCAGTGAGCGCAATGCTCTAGCACGGATCGTCCACTACCTACTCCCACTCGAGCCATTACGTCATTACGTTGTTGCATTGGTGTGCATAGATATACCATGCTCGTACAGTTGTATTCTCCTCGTGTAACTCATGTCTTCTACTTACACTCTCGTCATCTGTTCCACTGTTTCCGCAGACCGTGTGTGAGCAGAATGGCATCCTGTTTATGGGACTGGACATCGCACGAGTGCACGTTGTGTCTGGTGACATGACCGCGTGTGATAAGATCAGTGCGGAGGGTATGAGTTGGGGAGCTAGTCCAACCTATGTCACGTTTGTGTATGCCCACGTGGTACCTGAGTTGCAGTAGTTGTGTTTTATTGTGCGTAGCGTATCCCAATGCTGTGGCTGTTTGGGTAGACTAAGACAGAGTAACGTTCGCGTTAGAGAATATGGTACCACCTGTGTACGGATGCATGTTTGCTTTGTCGGTAGTAGTGCTCGCCGAATGCAAGCATGTAAGTGGGACGCGTATTGAAGTAGATGTACATATGTGCGCTAATGAAGTCTATTTCTTTCGTATATAAGACTTGTGGTACATACACATGCAACGTTTTTGTTGCATTTGTTTCGTGTTGATGGTTCATTCATATAAAACGTGTTTGCCCCACATGTATACAGTATGGTGTATCTTGCATTCCGAGTAGTTATGTGTTACCAACATCGCAATCTACCTATCCACCGCCACCTACTTTCTCGCCTCAAACAGAGCGATTGCAAATCTGCAATCATGTCGTCTTATACAGAGTGGTTATAGGTCCCCTGTCATTACATTGATATGGAGCGTACATAGCCCCTATAACTTACGACGTTAAAACATGTGTACACACTCACCTAGCAACAGCCATACACCCACTGAGACCATAAACCCACCACCGCCTATGCACTACAAACCAAGGAAACAAGGCATAGACGTTCCACACCTAACATAACATCATTACAAGCTCCATCCCACACCTCTCTGTAGATGTCGCAACACTACACAACGTCACCACAGCCATTCACTGTGCGGCCTCGACAGAGTGGCGGTCTCCGCTGCCTGAGCTACTGAAGATCAATGTGCATGGAGCAGTGGCCCTGTTCACCTTCTGCCTGACCCACTTGCCCAAGCTGCGGTCGTACGTGCACACATCCACCAGCTATTCGTATGTTGTGTGATGAGTGTGTGAGAGACCCTCCTCTGGTAGTGCCCACTCCGTTGTGGTATAATATGCATGGTTACAGGGTTTTAGGGTTCATACTCGTGCATATGTTTTTACCAGCACATACTCGAGACCTAGTGTGTGCTTGTATCCCGTGTGTGCATTTTGTCCTCGTGTCAGCAGCCTGACACTATATCTATATGTGACACTTTCAGCCAGATAAGTCAGGTATTGAAATACAGCACTACGCTTGAAACATTTACAGAACCACTTACAATACTCACAATGTAAAACACACATATAATATATATATATATGTATATATATATATAATATATATATTATATATATATATATATATATATA